TTAAGCATCATCTTAATTCCAGTCAGGGGGTGGTGGGCTAGACCAGTGGTTCCAGAGTTCGCTCGTCACGCCTGGATTCGATACCCCACACGGGTACAATGCGTGAAGCCCATTTCTGGTGTATCTGAAGTGATATTGCTGGAATAGTGCAACAAGCGGGGTAAAATCCAACTCACTCGTTCACTCACGTCCCGCAGTGGTACATGGTGCACATTCACTAAAAAGCGATGGCATTTGTAATGCTGATTCTGCTTTTCAGTGTACAACACTAAGGACGTACATGACGGAGTTACATAGCTGTATGACAGTGGAAGGCTTTCATTAAGTCATACATATTACGTTTAAATATTTCCGTTTCATTTTCAAATATGGGCATAAGAGAAGATAATTATACTCGTCTCCTTCAGACATATTACATACATGACAAATCTTGTCATTGATTGGTATGTTGCTCCAACTCGCTTTCTTTATTAGTAAAGAGTGGTTAGTGGTGTTGAGTTTCAGCAACGAAGGAAATATATTGGCATTATCAGATGTCCATTTTACTGCACCTTAGTTGGGTTCAATAACACCGTAACATACACTTTTAACTGATGACATCTGGGCACAGACACTGTACCAATTCAGACGAAATTGACCCTTTAATGGATGATCTATGATTAGTAAATATTGACGCTTCATTTTCTATCCATACATGACTAAGGACACATGTGTCGGAAATATAATTGACAAATGGTTGCCGTGGTAAATGATAAATATTGTCAAGATGTTTCTGATATACAATTCGGCACATAATAAGTTTATTAACGTTATGTGGCAACAGAATATGTACCGACAGCCTGCGTTCCGTAACAACATCCACGCTCACAAGACTGATTTGTATTCACCTGAACAATTCCATCATTGCTGGGAAATCAACAATTGACGATGTTGTATTTGCCAGTAGCAAAAACATTTAACGATTCAATAATTTCAGTTAAACGTGGAAGCTTACGAAATTAGTTTGTAATAGCCTGAAGATGAGATAGAAGATATTTTGATTGTTCACTAACATAGTACAGTGCTGTCAATATGACCTTTGATTCGAACTAACAAATGGAGCAGGCATCCGCTGACTGATGCAATCAAGGGGGCGCTAGCTGGTGCTGCTAGTTGCTACCGCGGACGGCAATATTTAATTCATCAGAATCATTGAATAGGATCAGTAACATTCAGAAATATTCCGAGCTGTAATCTTTAAGTGCATAATATATGAAATAGAGACCTTTGTAAGATCCACCTTGATGGTGGTGGGTAATCAGATAATCTTCTGGATGAAGGAATAGTGGGGACATGGTCACTTCCACAAAAGTCATCCTGAACAGACAATTCATGACATTAATTCGAATCAAAGACAAACACATCCAGGGAAGCGTATGATCCATGCCAGTGGCAGGGCCACAATATGTGTTAGATCCATCATTAAAAGACAGAAATCATTATTTTAGCACGACAATGTGTGATACTCGATTCGCGTTCGGTTTTTTAAATTACATTTAACGGTTTTAAATCAACGATAAAGGACCGCAAAATTGAAAACAGAGTAGCTTTATCTTCTAATTTGAGAATAGATCCTCGAGCATCTTTCCATTTCCATTGGTGGGTTATAAGAGAAGCATCGTATTTTCCTCCAGTGATAATGCAAGTTCTGGGGAGTTCTTAAGATCAGAGAGCCGTAGAGAGACGACCACAATGCTGTTCAGGGTATGATGGCGGTATATACAGTGAAATCAAAGTAAGATCAAAGTAAGATCTTCCCCAGCCTTTTCTTCAGGGCCACAAGCGATGTGTCCTCTTTGTTGACAGGAGACATCCATATTTATTGAATAACTTAATGTTGCTATAAGATCCTTCACACGTTCTGTCTCTTTGAGTCTTTTTCGACGACGGCTCTGTCCTTGGTTTGATTTTTCCTTCAACCATTTGTTTCTGTTTAGGTTTTTTGACATGGTTTATATCATGAATGATGGTCCATAGAAATATTTGTGAACAAAACATGTTTTGAATCAGTAGATTGAATTACGTCCGGACATTCCGTTTTGGCCCAGGTGCAATCAGGTTGACATGCAAGGGTAACCGGAACCTTTGCATTTTGAAATGTGATTTTCCATTTATGTTTTATTTTAACAATTTGGACTCTGTGTAGAACAAACTTTGGATGAAGAAACATGCTTACCGATCTTTGTCACACTCAGCACTGTCTGCACAGTTACCACCGCAATGATGACCTTATCATTGTGGCCCTCAGTTTCAACAAGGGCGATGTCATATCTGTTGACGACTGATAGGCGGAAACCAGTTTGCCACTCGTCTACGGAATATCCCTGGAAACTCTGTCAGTTGGCAATCATGATTAACAAATCTTAAAGGTCACATGCAACCAAAAAATCAAACATAATTTAAACATAATTATCACTGATTCATGACATATAATATACATTGCTGATTATGAAAAAAACATATAAACAACATTAAAAGCGTATAATCGCAAATCAAAAGTGCAATATTTTGTACTTGGGTTTACTTCCCAAGAAACGAAGCAGCCGGGATACCGAACCCAGTCAGAGAGGGTGGGTGTGCACTCAAGTGTAACGGCTGGTTCATTTGCAGATGCCCTCATTGTGTGTGTATATATAGAGATGTTGGGTTTTGTAAATACATGCTCATTTTTTGTGTATAACATTTTGCAATCAACAGACATCATAACATGTCATGTGTACGAGTATCACACCTGCCTGTCTGTGTAATTACATAATGTGACAGAGAATCAATGCGTTTTGTTTATGGTGTATAGCCTGATAGGTGTTAAGTTCAAATTGCATATGGTTAGTGATCGAAGTTGTGTATTGAATATTGTCATTAGCAGACGGCAGGCAGACACATAGGTGTCAATAAAACAGACATTGAGTCTGTGACAACGACATATCTATATCACAGTTAGACTTTCTGTCAACGCTAAATAATGACATTGCTTTTAAGTATCGAACTGATAAAGTGACTCGGTAAGAAGAACGTGTGGTGAAATAGACAAATATATAAACAGTTAAATCGGTAATCTACTGTCATAACATATAAAAAGCTCGCGCCTGTGAAATATCAACAAAACATTAGAAAAATAGCTCACACCAAAGCCTTCACCGAGTATTCACTGGACAACCCGCTTACAAGCTGCGCGAACCTATTTCACTGCGCATGTGCTATGAGCGCAGCCCAGCTGTTGAAACCACTTTTCCCCCAAGCGCTGGGGGAAAATTAGTGAATCGTTTGAACTCCGATTTCGGGCGGTTTTTTTCATCGCGTTATTTTTCCACTTTATAAGGTGATTTGCATTTTTGATGATTTGTTTCGGTAAGTCCATACCGAAAGGTATCAGAATCTGCAAAGTTGTGTTTTACGTTGTATGTGACCTTTAAGTACAAAGCCGAATGTAAACACAAGCAATTCACAATTCACTATCAATGTTCAAGATAGATTTATTCATTACGCATTCACCAGCTTAAATCGCTTGAAAATGGAACAGCTGTTTGGGAATTTTGAATGAAATATGTCTTGTGTTTCCATGCCAACAGGTTTAGCTTCGACTGAATTTGGTGGTAGTGCTCATTTCTGGAGCAGAACTTGAAAACCTTTCAATACTCTCCTTCCAATTTGCTATATACATGCCAAAACCTTTGACATAATCATAACTAGCTGACATATTCATGAAGAGTATTTTGCCATTGCGGGGGATATTGATGACTTGTCTTCTTGTTGTTTGTTATTTAACGCTGCACTCAGCAATATTCAAGCTATATGACGGCGATCTGTAAATAATCGTGTCTCGAACAGACAAGCCAGTGACCAACAGCATAAGCATCGATCAACGCATTTGCTGTACGATGACGTGTATAAATGAAGTCAGCGAGCGTAACCACCAGATCCCGTTGGTCGCCTCTTACGACAAGACTGGTTTGCTAAAGATCAGGTCTAATACGGATCTTCAAGGGTAGTGCCAATCTAAATTAAAAAATCGAACTTCTCAAACCGATTTAGAACGCAGAGGTGAAATGCCGATTCCCTAGATGCAATTGATTATGTGGAGGGGGCGTGTCTGCATTGTAAGAGCATTGTCAAAGAGCAATGATTACATCAAAATTTATAGTGTTAATATATAACACAAATGTGCCAAAATCACATATACCAAATTTCATATATATTTTATGACATTCGAATATTTTCTTCATAACGACAAAATACGAGTACAATATATGGCTGAACTACGTCTTTATTACAATTAGATGCGACATTTCGATTGCCATTTAACCACCATGTACAGAGTATGAACGAGAGGCATTTTAAGTAGGTGCGAGGAATGTTTTACAGTTGACTGGGTTGGGTGCGGATACAATAGAGTGGAGAAACCTGTAGTATAAACACAAGGCTTTGGTTTAGTTTGTTGTTAAACAGCACACTCAGCAATATTCCAGCTACATGGAGGCGGTCTGTAAATAATCAAGTCTGGACCAGTGATTGATATAATGAACATCGATCCAAGCAATCGGGTTACAATGACATCCTCAGACATGCAACACACCAAGCCTTACCGTCAGATCAGTACCCATGCTCATCAACAACAGGAGCATCGATTGGGATTCGATAGCATGCGTCAACCAAGTCAGCGAGCCTGACCACCCGGTCCCGTTAGACGCCTCTTACGACAGGCATGGGTTAGTGAAAATTAATTCTAAACCGGATCTTCACGGGTCGACAATCAAAAGGACGTAATCCACATCAAAACACTGCAATCATCAAATGTGATTGAGGCTATTGCATACCACCGCTTACCATCGGTTCATCAACCGTTCCAATCAGTCATCATCCTTTTGATCGAACTACATGCTTCAGATGTTGGACTCAGGACTTACCGTAGATGGTTGGACTTACGGATACCATATACATGTAACGGGAATAAAAATAGGTTCAGTTATCTGAGTGAGGATAGTTTTAGCCCAAAATGCGTTTCGAAATTCAGGTTCGTATTTGTTGTTGTGATCACAGTTTGCAATATTCCAGCAAATATTCGAGTCTTGATCAGACAATTAAGGGAATTACAAAATGAGCATAAATCAAAGCAGTTGGGTTACAATGGCATCGCCAGACATGCAATTCACCAAGCCTTACCATTAGATCAGTATCCATCCTTTACCTGTACAACATGGTCAGATTGCTTGGAGCAAATGTGCTTTGCTATAATCCACCCAGTTTCCGGGAAGTGTATCCAAGTCAGGTCAAATAATAAAATGTAGCAAAAGCCGAAACACAGACGTTGCAAGCCATGGGTATTGAATTTGACCAAATGTAGATGGGCAATTGTTTTGGTTGTTGTTTTATAAATATAACCCAAAGACACACCTTTACAGAGATTTCAAGTGACGAGTCAACATGTAGGTCAAATCACTGTCAGCCTTGAACATAATGCACAAAACATAACGACACCAAGTTTCCCTTTTTACATTCAAGATAGTGTCCATGTGAATCATTCAACTGAACCAAGTATGGTACATTTTAAAGAGAACACGTTTGTGGAAATGGAACGAGATTATATTTCACATACTCTAACAAAATGAGTGATGATTGTCCTATCCTCAACTATACGGTAGTCCGCTGCATCCACAGTTTTGAGAGTTGCCGAAGTGAGGTCACACCTCCCGCTTTCCCTCAGCCAATCAGCTGAACGGCAGACAAAGCTGGTTTCGCTTGTACAGAGGTCACTGCACCGATTTTCAGTCACGCTGGAGAAGGTAGCCATGTTGTTCCGACCGATGTAGTAGCCGCGTACTGTAGTGTAATGAGGACCGTAAGAGGTGCAAGCTGCAATGAGATAGTTCACCATTGTGAACGAGGAGTTTCAGGGTTGATATTGTAAATGTCTCAACACCAATCTGTTTGTTCCATGACCCTGGATATCGCTGCCAGTAATACAGACTGTCATGAAGGCAGTCACATAACAAAAACGTTAATATTGAAGTATTGTGCATGTGTACTGAGAACTTAAAACTGGCACTTTCTTCACAATTACTTGAAAGCATCGTTATTAGAAAGATATAATAGCACCTACTTGCATTGCAGGTCGCTGACAGTGGTGAGAAGGACAGCCCTGGGTCACACATGCACTCCGAGTTGACACAGACAGAGTCTGGCACGGTGCACTCGGAGTTGCTCTGACATGAAGATCCTATATGTCCTGCCGCTGAAAGAGAAGAGAAGTTTTGAGTTCTCATCCGTAGTTTTGAGGCCATACACTCAGCGTTTTTCTAAAAGTATTGGAACTTACGATAAGGATGAAATACTGCCTTGCTTACACATTTTAATTAAAATAAATTAATGACTCGTCACCCTAAAAACCTGAAAAATTAAATCTATAAACGGGATTAAGGTTCATCAAAATAGAGCGGTAGTAGTATATACAATGATAGTCCGAGATCAAGTCCAACAAAAGCCTCTGTAAAGCTTTATTTCCCAAATAAAGCTTTTGTCAGGCCCTTAGATCTTGCCCCCATCGTGTATACTACTTTTGAATCCCAAGTTAACTTACCGGCCACACGTGACACAATAGTGTCACTATGATCGCGAACTAGCACTTTCCTCATCATGTGACGTGTCGTGTTGACAGGAAACAGTTTAATGTGAATGAGCTGGTTACAGGATACTATTGGGATTACTTGGTAAGTGTTAAATATTTTGCTTGAGGGGTAACATTGTGACGTACGGTATGACTAATAATTCCTCTCTAACGAAACCTCTCCCTGGCCAATCTCTCAAGTAGTACAAGTTCGGTTCATCGGCTTTGATGTCCACTTTATCTATGTTGTAAGTTTTGACTGACCATATCGGATTGGTGGCTCGTTTCCGAGTGTCCCCTTTGTGTTCTCCCGGCTGGTAGAGGTACCTCACGAGGACCCTATCGGGTATCTGTTTCTCCTTCCTACGCGATGGTGCAGCCGGTTCGGCTATCACTGATTTCAGTTTGATAGCGTCGGCTGGTTTCTTGCCGGTGAGCCGAGTGGTTTCGTGGTTGATAGCCGACCCCACTTGAGGTAGCCGCGCTACCCATTCCGTCGATCGTTTTACCGGGTTGGCCATCTCACTCGCATACTGGTGCCCGAATAAATGCTCGTCCAAAGTCCGATTGAATTTCTCAACTATGGCTTGACTACGATGAGCCCCAGCAGCGCCACGCCTGACCTGGACGCCGTGTTTGTCTAGCAGTTGTGACAAGGCACCCATGAACTCCCGCCCAGGGTCGACTTGCAGCTCTGTGGGCCACGTCAGCGGGCTGCGTTTGTATATGCGTTCGAATCCGCGGGCTATCTTGGCCGAGTCTTTCGCGGTCAAGGGTTCGGCTTCTTTGTAGCGGCTGGCAACGCCAACGACGGTTAGGGCATACTTGTGCCTCTTGTCGTGGGGTAGGAACAGGAGGTCAGCCTGGTGGACGCTATTGGGTACGCTAATGCCGAACTTTCTTCGGGGCACGTAGCGTGGTGCCGGTAAATAGATCTGCCACAGGGCTTGTTTTTCAAGCCACACTTTGGCCTCGTCCGGGGGTACTCACGCCATTTTAGCCAGCTTATGTACGGCGCTAGCGGGCTGTAGTAAATAGCCTCAAACTTTCTTTGGTTCCGTGACATTGTATATATACACCTATGTTCTTGGTTGAATTTTCTCATGCCCGTACGTGTACGGTTTGATCATGTCGATGGCTATCCAACGCTTCGTGTCCATCGGTGATAGGGATGTCTTGTTTATCGTCAGTCCGTATATCCTGTGCCTGTCGCTTCTCAGCGTGTTCATTTGATGCCTGAAGGTGCGGGTCTTGAACAGGGCTTCCTGAATCTGGCGTGTTTGATGTGTTGTTTAACCACGTACTTCTTAACACCCTTCGCCTTTCGGATCTCACCATTGTCGGCCTTCAGGATGGAGTACATCTTAGGTCTCCAGCCTATGTACTCGGCTATGGGCGTGCCGGCACACTCGTCCTTCATCTTGCCGAGCACTTTTTTACTTACTGTGCTGTGTATGGCATGGTCCTTGGGGTAGTCACTGGTGTCGTATAAATGGATGTGTTTCTTCATGTCCTCGTACACGTCCTCGGTTCGAATCTCCATCAACAGGGAATCTGTGTCCGTGTACAGCACTTCGCACCTGTCGCCGTGCTGTTTCTTCAGTTCGTAAAAGTCGTACATCAGGTGTTTGGATAAATCGAGGATGTTCATCCCAACGTAAACAGGCCGGTTGAATTTGATGTGGCTTTTCTTCATGTGTAGGACCACCAGGTCGTCGGTGAATATCTTGCTCCGGTTGAATGCCGGGCTGGCTATCAGTTTCCTGAGCTTGTCTTCCTCTTGCGACCAACCAGCTTCACGGTCACGCGTTTCCTCAGGTTCTCCATTGTCTTACCAAACACCGAGTTGTTCATGAGCTTGTAGAGGTTTTTCTCAAAGTCACTGGTGGCCAGCTTTTGCAGGTCCGTGTTCATTCTGATGTAGGGCTCCATCCAGGGGCTCTGGTCGAACACGAGCACCCTGTGTATTTTGGTCAGCCTCATACCCAACGACAGATACAGCTGTAGGTTGCGATAGTGCACGATGTACTTGGTCTTATTCATTAAGTTTGGCACTAGTTTTTCAACGTCTGCCACCCGCCCACCCAGCAAGTTATGTTGGTACTCAGACATCCAGTCTTGGTTAACCCTCAAACGTTCGGGGGCCAGGGGGTAGCTGTTGTGTGATGTGTGCAATGTATTGGGGTATTCCAAGTCCACTTCGAGGATATAGCCTTTGTTCGAATCCGGCGCTATGCTCATAACATCGATCTCGGGTGATGCCCATTCGAACCCCCCTGTGGGTAGATACTGGCTCATGACCCAACCGTACAGGTTGTTGGCATCGAGGTAGAGGATGTGATTGGTTGGCTTGCTCGAGTCGTAGCCCTTCACGTATTGATTATTGGCTTTTGCGTAGCGTTTGGTAGCCATGGAGATCCCACCTCGCAAGCCATTCTCAATGAACAGATGCATGTCGTAATCGGTGAGCAATTCCAGCTTAACTCCGGTTTTCTTCAGCAAGGCATCCCAAGATAGACCTGGGCTGGTGTAGTACCATGCGGGGTCGAGTTGATACTGCTTAAAACACGTCCTCCTAAACGTCTCGAACACGTCGGCTAGCAGGAGTACGTCTGTTCTCAAGTACAGGTCGTGGTAGTCACCCAGATTCTTACAGCCCACTTTATTCCATACGTTAATCGCGTGCGAGTAATCGTCTTGGGTGATTGTCGAGTCGGTCAGGTTGCTGTAAAATCGGTTGATGGGGGGTAGTCGGGTCTCAGCGAACTTGGTCCAGCCATCCATGTACTCAGTGATGGGGAAGGTATCGTTGGCCTTGACCAGACTGTCGAGTGACGACAGGAAGAACTGAACCGAGTCGATGAACCTCAGGCCATTCAAGCTAAAGGAGATGTATCTCTCCATGTTGTTGGGGATACACGTCAGGTTGCCGTCGACTTTCGCGATGGCCTGCATGATCAAGTGAGAGTTGTACCCTCTCAAGTTGTGGAAGACCACGGGGATGTTTATGGTCTTGGGGTTGATTCTGAGCTTGAGGTTGCACGCGTTGTGAGCGGTGCCTCTATACTTACCGGTGACGTGGCAGTGATCTCTCACTGAATCGCCGTTCAGCGGGTTATCACCGCCGTTCAATGGGCTATCACCACCGTTCAGCGGTTTATCACACACATGACAGTGAGTGCTGCAGCCGTAAGCTAGCCAGTCGGCTTGAGTCATACGCATGGGAGCGACTGTATACAGCTCATTCCTGATAGTCTTCTCTTCCTCCTGCAAACACTTTAGAAACTTTTCAGCCGCGTCGGTGCCCCTGTACACTACGGGAGCTTTCGTTTCCGCATTACATCCGACGACCACGTATCCAAACCCACAGTCCTCGTGCTCCTGTGTTTTTTGTGTGTTGGGGGTACCCCAAAACGCCTCAACGGGTTTGACCAATGGTTCGAAGTCGGCGTAGATGATGTAAGGCACGGGCATCTGGTTCTTGTGGTTGTCGAATTTTAGGATGTTGTCGCCTTCCTTGGGCATGTCGACTCATATGGCCGTCTGCCCCACACCTTGGCAATCCTCCCGGTGGGATTCCAACAGGTTGGGTCGGCTGAAACCGTGCAGGCATCGTATGCAAAAGTGTTTTTTCCCAACGTGTTTTGACTGGCCGTGCAACAGCCTGCTGAGGTGTTTTATCCACGTGTAGTGATACTTATCATGAATATATTGATCACGTGGCGACCCCCCAGTCCCAACATTGGACTGACCCTGTGCACGACCGTTGTGTTGCCTAAGACGTTTATGGCTATATCATTCTGTTTTTCTATTTTAGTGTTCTGAGATATGGGGGTGGGTTCGGTTATACCATCCCAGTTGAGCCCATTGTCTTGGGGATAACTAGAAGGCCTGTTCGAATTAGTGTCAGCTGGAAACAAGGCTGACCTGATAGCTAGCCTCATGCAATCGTCTCCTCTATTCTTGATGTTGACTATGGCCTGTTTTGCTTTGTAGTAGGGGGGCAAGTCTAGGTACGACCCCCCTCTGAATGGCACGTAGTTAGCTATGTCTAGATAGACCTTATCCATTTTATCCACGACCCACCCGGAACCCATGTGCGTGTAGCATTCTAGGTATTCTCGTATCTGCTGAAAACTGATATCGATTGACTCGTCTATAGTCTCAGTATGAGTCACGGCTTTTTGTTATACCTCGGAAGTAAGGCTGAATGTACTCAATGACCCCAGTGGGGGTTCCCCCCTGCTGTTTATCTAGTGACATTTTCACTGTGATTTGAAACTTTATACTTCCCAAATCATTTAGTTCCTCATTGACTTTATCAGCGATTAGAGGCTTGATGTCAGCGATGTCTATGTTCTTATCAACATGCATGCGCCAGCCTCTCAGATAGTTACCTACAGCGCGTTCAGTGCGCACGAACTGTAGATCAATAGCTTTATTCTGACGTAATAGTTCGACTAGCTGGGGCTTCCTCATATGGGAATAACCGACTAACCCCAGCTCTCGAGCCTCCTGTTTGAGTTGTTTCACAGTGTGGGTCTTTACTACGGGGTTGTGCAATAATGCGACTAGCCCGGCTTTCCCCAGGTGGGAATAACCCATCAGCCCAAGCTCTTTCGCTCGGA